GTTTCTTCATCTTTGTAACAGGAGGACACCCAGAGAAGCCTTAATGTGCAGGAAGCCTCCAGGGAGAAACTGAGCCAAACCAGCCTGGCAGCCCAGGGAAGCAGGGGCCAGTAACTGTCAGGACAAAAGCACTGTCTGCTGGCCCTGAGGGAGCCTCCTGGTAGCCAATGAGACAAGGATTCTTTGGTACTGCCTGAAAGAGGAGCTGGAAGCAGGGGAGGGGCCCGAGCTAAATGGAAGGCAGTGCCAGGGCCATTACCGGCTGCGCAAGAAGGACGAGCTCCGGGACCCTCGCTACAGTGCTCAGTCCAGGGGAGGGTCGCCAGATCCTTCCCAGACAGGGGTCAATGGGCCGAGGCAGCAGGAAGTCCCCGGATGCTGTTAGGAATAGGAGAGGCGGGTGCTGGTCCAGGCACCAAGGCCTCAGGCACTTTCTCTGCGAAATGGAGGCGTACCGTTTGTCCCACGGGGGTGGCTCAACCGTCAGAGACAGGCATCTATCTGGACGGTCACTACGTATCTGCTTACTAACTGTAAGTACCTATGTGGGACCGGGATTCTGTAACGTCAACAACAGCAGCCATTCCTGCTACTGACAAGCGCCTGCCTACCCTGCGTCTACACTGCACTGCACTTAACTCAGGTCATCTGAGTAACTGTATGTAGAACTGAGGCTCTGAGAGATGAAGTAAATTGGCCCAGTTCATAAAGCTTATAAACAACAGAGCCCAGATGCAAAGTCAGAATCGATCTACCCAGCCAGAGTTTTTGTTTGTTTGTTTTATGAGACAGAGTCTTGCTCTGTCACCCAGGTTGGAGTGCCATGGCATGATCTCGGCTCACTGCGACCTCTGCTTCCCGGGTTCAAGTGATCCTTGGTGCCTCAGCCTCCTGAGTAGCTGGGACTACAGGCGAGCACCACCACATCTGGTTAATTTTTGTATTTTTAGTAGAGATGGGGTTTCATCATGTTGGCCAGGCTGGTCTTGAACTCCTGACCTCAAGTGATCCACCTGCCTCGGCCTCCTAAAGTGCTGAGATGATAGGCATGAGCCACCACTCCAGGCCTGGCCTGAATTTTTAACCCTAATTCTACACTACCTCCTGGACCATGGGATCCATCATCCTAGGAGGTAGGGACTGTATTTATCTTCTTTTTACAATGAAAAAGCAGATACTGAGAGAGGTTCAGAAACCTACTCAAGGACACACAGAAACCTACTCAAGGCCTTGAACGCAGACCTGCCTGCCCCAAAAGCCTGTGCTCTAACTACTGTGCTACCCTGTCAGGATCTAGGAGAGCCAGAGAGGGCGGATGGAAATGAGGAAGTCTAACCTGGAGAAGGAAAGGCTGAAGAGAAACCAACAGGCCATGCACACCAAGACTTGAACCCTTTGTTTGCCACTAGAGAACCCATGGTGGGGTAGGACTTCTCAGAAATGGAATATACTACCAGTCCTGTGCAAACACTTGGTGGCCCGTTACATGCGCTAGTGAGATCCCCCAGGGTCGCCGGGGCCCAGGGACACCAGTCAGGGCTGCCATAGATGGGAGGCAGAGTCGTGTAGCAGTTAACTTCACGGGTACTGGAGACAAACAGGTGGATTTGACTGGCTCCATGACTTTAGAACCTGGTGACCTTGGGCCGGGTGCAGTGGCTCATGCCTGTAATCCCAGCACTTTGGGAGGCCCAGGCAGACGGAACACGAGGTCAGGAGTTCGACACCAGCCTGGCCAACATGGTGAAACCCCATCTCTACTGAGGATAAAAAAATTAGCTGGGCATGGTAGCATGAGCCTGTAACCCCAGTTTCTCAGGAGGCTGAGGCAGGAGAATCACTTGAACCGGGAGGCAGAGGTTGCAGTGAGCCAAGATCGTGCCATTGCGCTCCAGTGTGGGCAACAGGGCAAGACTCAGTCTCAAAAAAAAAAAAAAAGAACCCAGTGACCTTGGGCAAATCACCTGACTCTCAGAACAGCTGTTTGCTGTTCTGTAAAGCAGGGTAATAATGCCTGGTTCAGTGCCGCTGTGTGGATCCAGTGGTACAGGGAGGTGGAGAGGCACGGGAAGCACTCAACACAGTGCCTGCCAGGAAGTCACCTCCATCCCAGCAGTCCTCATTCCCGAGTTCTTAACCCCAATGCTAAACTACCGCCTAGACCACCGGATCCTCCTCCCAAGGTCCTCTTCTCACAAGTCCTCAGAATCCAAGTCCAGTCGTTTCTAAGCTCATCACAATATCATTTCTGCAGCTCAGGACCTGGCTTCAGGAGGCGTGGACAGGGCTCGGTCAGGGGCAGCCCTGTGAGCAAAGGGCCTGGGGCAGCTGTTTCTTCTCACCTGGCACCACTGCCCACTCTGGCTGAGCTGGGCAGAAGCGGGCATGCAGCCATTAACCGAGGAATATACGAAATGATGGAGTGGCAGGGAGCGCAGGCCACAGGGAGCAGTGCCCCAGCTCCTGAAGGGCTCTGATCTCAGAACATCCCCTAAGTGTCTGCAAGCAAGGAGTCAACAGCTGCCCTCCACAGTGTGGCCAGATTCAGCAAACAAAAATACAGAACACCAGGCTGGGCAAGGTGTGGCTTACACCTGTAATCCCAGCACTTTGGGAGGCCAAGGTGGGCAGATGATGAGGTCAGGAGTTTGAGACCAGCCTCACCAACATGGTGAAATCCCATCTCTACTAAAAATACAAAAATTAGCAGAGCATGGTGGCATGTGCCTGTAGTCCCAGCTACTCAGGAGGCTGAGGCAGGAGAATCTCTTGAACCCGGGAGGCGGAGGTTGTAGTGAGCTGAGATCGCACCACTGCACTCCAGCCTGGGTGACAGAGCGAGACTCTGTCTCAAAAAAAAAAAAAAATAGAGAACACCCAGTTAATTTCCAGTATCAGATCATGAATAATTTGTTAATATGTCCCACATATTGCCTGAGACATACTCATATAAAAAATCTGATTGTTGTTGATCTGAAATTCAAGTTCACCTGGTAATGTATAGGAGATTCTATACATGACCTGGCAACCCTGATCCCTTAGGGCCTCCCAGCACTTAGTTGTCTCTGACTGGTAGTGGCCAAGACCCTTGGAGACAGGGGGGTCTCATGTGCCAAGTCAAGGGAAGGACCAGCCTTTTCATCCTGGATACAGAAAGCCAGCATAGCTCATACCTGTGGATGCGCTTAGCCTGTCAGGCCCAAAAAGTTATTCAAAAAAAAACCTCAGATAGACTAAGCCCTCCCAAAGGACACAAACAGCCGAGGTCAAAGTCAGCCCTGAGTAAGCTGGTACCCCAGAAAGGACCTGGCCCTGGAGTGTGATCCCTGTGAGTTCAAATACTGACACTGACACTTACTCCCTGTGGGACCTTGGCAACTTACCCAATCTGAGCTGAAGTTTGCTCATCTGTAAAAAGATGACTGTATCAGCTTTCTCATAAGGTTACCTTGATTAAATAAATAACCTGGCACACCACAGACGCCCATAAATGAGAGCTCTGTCTCTCCCACCGCCCTCACCTGATCCTCTCTTAGCAATTATTTTAAGCACATCCCTAATCAGAGAAAAGGCAGTTGGTGTTAACCGCACCTTGCCTGGGATAGAGTGAGTACTGATACCAACAAATCTCAGTTGCTGTCATCTAAATTTCTTCCCAGCTGAACGTTCCACACAAACCCATTCCCTTGCGCCGGCCATCTCTCCCCTCCGCTGTTGACTGGACGCTTCAGGAAGGTTTGCTGAAGCAAGTATGATTAAGAAGGGAAATGTGGCTGGCATGGTGGCTCAGGCCTGTAATCCCAGCACTGTGGGAGGCTGAGGCAGGTGGATCACCTGAGGTCAGGAGTTCGAGACCAGCCTGGCCAAAATGACAAAGCCCCATCTCTACTAAAAGTACAAAAATTAGCCGGGCATGGTAGTGGGCACCTGTAATCCCAGCTACTTGGGAGGCTGAGGCAGGAGAATCGCTTGGACCTGGGAGGCGAAGGCTGCAGTGAGCTGAGATCATGCCATTGCACTCCAGCCTGGGCAACAACAGTGAAACTCAGTCTCGATAAAAAAGGAAGGGAAATGTGTCCATGGCAAGTCATAGCACAGATGTTGTGTAATAATAAACGTGTACTAAGCCACTGTTTTGTAACCATCTATCTCTCAGGTTCCTTTAGTCCCAGACACCAACAGGGTGCTAAATGTTTTGTCACTCATGAGTAAGAGACATTCCTGGATATTGCCTCAAAGGAGGGTGCACTAGGACCCAAAATGGCCGGTTTGGCTCAAGGTCCACATCTTCCTGACCAAACTTAAAGCCCCTAGCCCCAGTAATGCAGAGCCCAGACACGGGGGCGGTGGGGCTGGGCGGGGAGAAAAAGGAGAACAGCCGCTGGCACCCAGACCCGGGAAATGAAGACACCCCAGGAAGCCCTGCAGAGTTTTCCCAAGTGCACAAAGTTGGGGTTTTCTGCTTTTAAGTAATTTCTGTTGGAGTTCGTGCTTCTTGATTATGAAGTAAGGGCGCTGGATGTGTAAACTTTATAAAACGAATTGTTTGGGAACATTTGATTTCCTTAACCCGATTTAGCATAGGAGGAGGCTCCCGGGACGGTGCTGGGACCCGGGGATAGGCCCACCCCTGTCCCCGCGCCAGGGAGGTGAGCCGCCTCCAAGCCCCTCCCGCGCGCCTTCCTCCTCCTCCTCCAGGGGAATTCTGGGCGTGTGGGCCACAGCACGTGGGGACCGGCCCTGCCCGCTGGAGGGTCTGAGTCTGGGAGGGGACAGCCCTAGCCCTGCCCTGCCACGCCACCTCCAACGGCCCCTCTGCGTCGCCCTGCCGGCCTGTGCCTGGATCCTTCTTCCTGCTGTGGCTTGCCTGCCCACCTCCTTCTCTCCTGGGGTCTGTACCTTCCCTTTCTCCCTCCCATCCCTCGGTCCTCCTACCTTCCTGGAAAATGCAAATGTCCCACCCCCTCCCGCAAAGGGGACCCCGCCCCGCCCGTCGCCACCTTCAGGTTCACCGCAGGCAGCTCCATCCGGACCCAGGCCGAGGGCTCCTGCGCGGCAGCAGCTAGGGCTCCTGGGCTCCGAACTCGGGGAACAAACTTCCCTGGTCCCGCCCCGCCCTTTGCCGAGACTCCAACCCCAGCACAGCTCCAGACCACGTGAAGCGGGCTCGGGCGGGTCACGTGACCGCCGCCCGTTGCTAGGAGACGGCGTCGGCAGCGCGCGCCTTCCCCCGGCTTCAGGCTCCCGCCGCCGCCCAGGCAGTACCTGGGGCCGGGGTGGAGCGGAGGGGAGTTGGGAGTTTCTGTCCCTCAGGGCGTTTCCTGTCTGGCAAATATCCCAGGAGGCGGGCTGATGGGACTGCCTGCAGCCAGGACAACTGGGGGACCGTCCCGGCGCGAAGTGCTGATGTGGCAACAGCTTGTGCCTCATCCCTGGGGACACCCTCTCCTCCCCACTTCCCTGTGTAAATGGGTTATTTAGGATACCTACCTCATGTGATCCTTGTGAGGATTAAATGAGCTAATCGCTGTTGTTAAAGAAAACGTTTTGGGGACAATTTGTTAAACCAGTACTGTTGAAGACTTGCTGTAGGGTGTAGCGGGGACATCCCATAAGCGCAGAGGCGGGAGCAAAAGGCCTCAGCCTATTTCCATATAAATAATGAAGAAGAAAGCAACTAGAAATATAACCTTGGGGCCGGGCGCGGTGGCTCACGCCTGTAATCCCAGCACTTAGGGAGGCCGAGGCGGGTGGATCACGAGGTCAAGAGATCGAGACCATCCTGGTCAACATGGTGAAACCCCCATCTCTATTTAAAAAATACAAAAATTCAGCTGGGCATGGTGGTGCGTGCCTGTAATCCCAGCTACTCAGGAGTCTGACGCAGGAGAATTGCCTGAACCCAGGAGGCGGAGGTTGCGGTGAGCCGAGATCGCGCCGTTGCACTCCAGCCTGAGTAACAAGAGCGAAACTCCGTCTCAAGAAAAAAAAAAAAACAAAAAAACATATATATATATATATATATATATAACCCTAGTAGTGATTAGTTATTCATATGTGATCTTAGTTATTCATAGGTGATCTTAATTCTTTTACTAATGCCTCTCAGGTCGGAAGTGTGAACCTGGGGTGACGTTGTGAAATGAATGACACTAAGGCAAGATGCTCTAAGCCCTCTGTCACGCCCGCATAAAGGCTGCTGGAGGGCGCCTCGGCTTTGCGGCAGCGCCAGCGTTGGGAAAGCGCCCGCTGTTTAGCCAGCTAGGGAAGGAGACGTCCAAAATGGTCGAGACATCTCCTTCTTGGGGAAGTTTGGAGAAAACTCTGCTTCTCCAAGCTCTTGTGGTAGGCCTGACGGCTGTTGGGGAAGCCCACAGACATCCAGGGGCTTAACTGTCTCCATGTGATGCTGTGCTTCAGTGGTCACGTTCCATGGCTACTCTCACGTTCTACTTCTGCACCTGGTTCCTTTTTTCTTAGAAAAGATAATCAGTAATAGTATATAAGTCTTCATGTTTTAGTTCTTGATAAGTATGGAAAAGGTGCTGATGCATTATACTCCTTACTTCACTTCGGGTGCCAGAAATTCCTGAGCCCTTACCTGAATGACACATGATGTACTTGACCCTGTCACTGCCACGTCCTATCCACCCTGCCCCCAGTCTCCGACCACCAAGACCACGCCCTACCTACCCTGCCCCCAGATTTGCAACTCAATAAAAGTGAGAGCGTCCCGGCATTCGGGGCCACTTGTCGTCTCTGCGATTTGGGTAGCAGTGGATCCCTGGGCCCAAACTCTCTTTTCTCTATCTCTGTGTCTTGTGTCTTTTATTTCTACAATTTCTCATCTTCTCACGAGGTGGGAGCGGCTCACAGAACCCTGTAGGGCCGGACCCTACAGTAGGGTTATTGCCATGGGTTGAGGGTTTGGGCTCAACTCGGAATACAACAAGGACCAAGGTTGGATTTGTTAAATCAAAGAGCAGAGTGAGAGAGCCAGGGGATGGAAGATTCCTAGGAGGAGACATCGAGGATCGGGGAGTTCTCCCTAACTTAGCAGGACTCTTGCTGAAACTGGTTTATGCAGACTCAGGCCCAGCAAGGACAGGAAGACACAGAAGTTCAAGGTCAAGGGCTAGTCAAGGGGAGGACTCAGAGGAGTGCAACTATGGTTTGGTCTAGGAGAGAACAGTGCCTGGCACTTAGTAAATGGGCAGGACACACAAGCTTTTGTTGTTATTACCAACACACGAGGAGGCTGGGCGAAGTAGCTCAAGCCTGTTATCCCAGCACTTTGGGAGGCCAAGGTGGGCGGATCACTTGAGCTTGGGAGTTTGAGACCAGCCTGGCCAACATGGTGAAATCCTGTCTCTACTAAAAATACAAAAATTAGCAGGGCATGGTGGCGCATGCCTGTAGTCCCAGCTACTCGGGATTCTGAGGCAGGACAATCGCTTGAACCGGGAGGCTGCAGTGAGCTGAGATCATGCCACTGCACTCTAGCCTGGGCGACAGAGTGAGACCTTGGCTCAAAAAAAAAAAAAAAAAAAAAAAAAACCTGAGGAGCCAAATTGATAGGAGCCCACTTTAATCAGCATACCAAAAGTTTTAGAAAACTCTAGCTGAAAAGCTACAAGAAATTCCTCCCCTAATTGTGCATGAGGAAAGAAAAGGCTGTCTCTTGCCTCACCTAGCCCTTCTTTTAAAGATTGTTGACCACCGCACCCCCCACCACACCCCAACAAGAACATTAATCCACCCTACCTCCAGGCCCTTCCCAACGTCACCTTTCCTTTAGAGAACATCAGCTTCTGTTAGTGTCACCTGCGTATGGACACCTTCAGGGTACACCTGAGTGCTTGGTCTTGTTCCTAGGATGGGGGAAACCAGGTGGGAACCCACAAAACTGCCTGGGTGAGTCTTTGGATAATATCAAGATCCATGCCGAGTGCAGTGGCTCATGCCTGTGATCCCAGCACGGTGGGAAGCCGAGGCGGGCGGATCATGAGGTCAGGAGTTCAAGACCAGCCTGACCAACATGGTGAAACCCCGTCTCTACTAAAAATACAAAAATTAGCCAGGTATGTTGATGGGTGTCTGTAATCCCAGCTGCTTGGGAGGCTGAGGCAGGAGAATCGCTTGAACCCCGGAGGCGGAGGTTGCAGTGAGCCACTGCACTCCAGCCTAGACAGCAGAGCAAGACTCCACCTCAGAAAGAAAAAAGAAAGAAAATATATATATTATATTATATAATATATATATAAAATATATATATTATATTATATAATATATTATATATATATAACTCAAGACCCATAGTCTCTCCAGATCCAACGAAAGGGTTTCTCTGGATGGATGAGGACAGTTTGAAGGTTGCAGGGCCCATAAGCCTAACTTACTGCCCCCTTAGGAGGCACAGATCCCCCAGTCTAGGGGGAAGGGCCATCCAACATCCGCCATTGTAATGAAGAGTGGGTAAATTAGAGACCAGCCAAATGGCTACATCCAGTGTGATTTAGGACTGGTTGCTATTATTATTAGTTCATTATTGGTAATTAATTATTCTAATTAGTAAAGTACTTAGAAGAGTGTAATTTCTCAGCAAGTGGTCAATATTAGAATATTATGTTGTTATTATTTATCAGTTTTGTTTTTTTTTTTGAGGTGGAGTCTCACTCTGTCGCCCAGGATGGAGTATAGTGGTGAGATCTCAGCTCATCGCAACCTATGTCTCCTGGGTTCAAGCGACTCTCCTGCCTCAGCCTCCTGAGTAGCTGGGATTACAGGCGTGTGCCACCATGCCCTGCTGATTTTTGTATTTTTAGTAGAGATGGGGTTTTGCCATGCTGGCCAGGCTGGCCTCAAACTTCTGATCTCAGGTGATCCGCTCACCTCGGCTTCCCAAAGTGCTGGGATTTCAGGCATGAGCCACTGCACCCGGCCTGATCAATTTCCTTTTAAAAAACATTTCCCGTATACTCCAGATTCTAGAAGGATTTAATCCAAGCCTTTAGGTATATAATGAAATTGTGATCACTTTGTCAGGAGAAAATGCAAAACAGGCCATTTACAGTGGCTCACACCCGTAATCCTAACACTTTGAGAGGCTGAGCCCAGTGGATTTTTTTTGCTATGTGGGCTCACTGCAAACTTACCTCCCAGGTTCAAGCAATTCTCGTGCCTCAGCCTCCCGAGTAGCTGGGATTACAGGCGCCCGCCACCGTGCCCGGCTAATTTTTATATTTTTAATACAGATGGGTTTTTGCCATGTTGCCCAGGCTGGTCTCAAACTCCTGGGCTCAAGTGATCCACCTGCCTTGGCCTCCCAAAGTGCTGGGATTACAAACTTGAGCCACCACGCCCCCTGCCAAAGGAAGAATTCTTGTTCTGTATCTGCCTCAGGGGAGAGGAAGGGGCTAGACACAGGAGGTCAGGAGGCAGTCACAGAGACCTTGCTTTTGAGGCCTCCAATCTTTAGTTCACAGTACTTAGCATGCCAAAGCGCCAGATATTGGGGTGACATTTACTGAGCCCCAACAGTCGTTATCATGTGGCAGACAGTGTGAACGTGCTTCATAGTGGGCTGGGCGCGGTGGCTCACGCCTATAATCGTAGCGCTTTGAGAGGTTGAGGCAGGTGGATAACTTGAGGTCAGGAGTTCAAGACTAGCCTAGCCAATATGGTGAAACGCTGTCTCTATTAAAAATACAAAAATTAGCTGGGCATGGTGGTGGGCGCCTGTAATCCCAGCTACTTGAGAGGCTGAGGGAATTGTTTGAACCCGGGAGGTGGAGGTTGCAGTGAGCCAAGATTGAACCCTGCACTCCAGCCTGGGCGATGGAGTGAGACCCTGTCTCAAAAAAAAACAAAAAAGAAAGAAAGAAAGCCGGGCGCGGTGGCTCACGCCTGTAATCCCAGCACTTTGGGAGGCCGAGGCAGGTGGATCATGAGGTCAAGAGATCGAGACCATCCTGGTCAACATGGTGAAACCCCGTCTCTACTAAAAATACAAAAAATCAGCTGGGCATGGTGGCGCATGCCTGTAATCCCA